AACCCTGCAATCTAATCGCGGCGATAGTGATGACCAAAAGAATGGCAGGGTTCAGGCTTTCAGGGATCCAGAGCTGAGGACTATAAACTGAGGACCTCCCTGTGCCTTGCAACATGCAGCGAAACGAAGCGCCAAGTTGAGTGGTCATGTGGCATGCCTAGGCCCTAAGCTCTAAGGCTCTAAACCCTAAAGCCAAACAATCAACAAGAGTGCTTCAGGCTGTGTATCATCACATCACCCAAGACCGGAGTCCATCAAATCAAGTGCGGAAGGAGGGCACTGACTGGGTTTTCTTCATGGTTCACGGCCATGTTGTTTTTTTGGTGAACTCCTTGGTGGCCCGAAAACTGTTGGGAGCCTGTTCAAGGGGTATTCAATAGCTGGGTATCTAAGCCTGCAGATTATCTGGCACCCAGGGTTCACAAGGACGACGAGATCCCAGGAACCCCAAAGTAACTCTGTGGATAAAAGCCCTAAACCCAAAACCCAAAAAGCAGGAGCACACCTTAGGGGAATGCACAACCTTCATTTTTTGGCGCAGATTTTCAACCGATTACTGAGGGAGATGGCTGGTTTCAAGGGTTTAGGGTTTAGGGTGGCCTACAGAATGGCAGCCTCATGGTTGTACAAATGCGCAGAACTCCTTGCTGATATTGTGGCTTTTGTCCTGATTGTAGGGACTCCCAGGCAGGGGCCTTCATTTTTGGGATGCCTCAATTTTGATGCTCCTCTTTGTGAGGGGCACCAAGAAGGGGGCAGCACATTCGGAGGCCGGGAGGAGGTATTAAGCGAAGTTAGCAGCGCCACGGTCCCCAAAACAAAGTTATTCGAAAGGTTGGAATTGAAGACTGTTTGGAACGAAGGGCAACAGCTTCCACGAAGCCTCCAGGCCTGACACGAAGTTAGACGAACCCAACCAGGGTTAGTACGAACCCGGCATGGCCCACAACCTAGACGCGAAGGTGTGCATTCCGAGGCAGGCGGAGCAGATCAGGAACCTGGGGCCTACGAGGACCAAACAAACGTACCAGGGGTGCCCAAACGATGGCACGAACCCCGCTCTCACGAATCGCCCAAGATGGCACGAACCCAGTTTGCGTACGAACCCCGCAAACCCGTCACGAAACCCCGCAGGGTTAGACGAACCCCCGAGGGTTGTCACGAACGTCTGGGGGTGGGAGGGGATTAGCCGAGTCCTGACGGACATGCGCAGGCTTAGACGGAGGGGCTGGCTGCTTTGACGAACGGGTCAGCGCGGGAGGAGGGTTAGCCGAACCCTGTCAAATGACGGCTGGCTGGATATCATATGCGCTGCCCCAATCTGGGCTGCCCTGACTTAAAATGTCCCAGCACCAAGTGCAAAACTTGGAAAGTAAAATAGAAATTGGGATTATAGAGAGCTTATATAGGGGGAGCAAATCTCAGGCAATGAGGGGGCTTTGGTAGTACGAGAGCCACATGAGAGTCACAGGGTCCTTAGGTTGTGGGTTGGGGTAACTAGAACCCGACAATGCCTCACCAAAAGGAAATCAAGCAACAACGGGGAGTACACTGGGGCTTTATAAGGCATTACGGAACTTAAGTTAAGTAACCACTATCAGGGGAACATAGTATCACTACATAGACATGTTATGGTGACTTAGCTCAATGAAGTTGCCCGGCTGTTCTTGTCTATGCTCTTGTTGCGATTCCTTTCCTTATTGTTTGTTCAGACTCCAGACAGCACGCCTTCACATCCGAAACCGCTATCGCGAAATCCTAAGCTCTTTATCCTCCAAGGCAGTTGCTCAAAACAATCCCAACCCTAAACCCTAAACCCTAAACCTAAGATCTTGGAAAAACCTCCAACTGTTAACCCAGAGACATGCCACCTCTGGGCTCCCGGCGGCCAATGCAAGCTAGGAAGGAAATGGAAGCTTGGGGTTTAGGGGTTTAGGGTTTTAGGTTTTAGGGTATGAGAGAATGCCTTCTGGACACAACAGTGACGTAGAGAATAAGGGGTGGATGGCTTAACTGGGTCGCTGTTAAGGAACTTGACGTTAGTTGGTATAATAGGTATATATGATATTTGATATGGTTTCATCAATATGATAACTTAAATTAAGTTCCTTAACAACAACCCCGGATCATCCATTCCCTCCTTCTCCACTGAGCAGCAAGCAGAATAGCAAGTCTTGGATCTTGAGCCCTAGTCCGTACACATTGCCAAACCGTATCCTACATGGTAAGCCTTGAGCCCTAAACCCCTTAACTTCTAACTACCCTATAACCCGAAACCTGAAGCTCGAAAGCCCTTAACTTCCAGGTATCCCAAACCAAAGACCTTCAGGCTTTGAACCTTTTGCTTTTGAACTGTCAGACTGAGGGCCAAGCAGCTTCTCGTAGCTCCCTACTGCCGAAGCATGGCACCTACATAGGAGTTTCCACGGGTATGTGGACCAGGTATAGACTACAGTCCGCATTATAAGGATTTCCCACATGAGATCTAGAATCTTCGGAAACATCCAGATCGAGGTCAGGTTTCGTCATGATGAAAACGTGGGGTATTCTTACTGCTGGTCAGCACGAACGGAAAAACCATGGAAACTACGCGGTTCCTTGACGCGTTTGTATCTCCAGGGTCCCAGAACATACTTGCAGATCCAGAGACTTTGAGCTGGGACTAATGACGGGCTGCGGTGCTTTTTGTTTCTTGTCAAAATTCATCGAAATTCATTGGTCTGTGGGGTTGGGCGGCTTCTCAAGCATTGAGAGGCCCCTGAGGGTTGTACGCTAACTAATGGACTGAATGCTGAACTTGAAGCGATTTAGGGTTTAGGGTTTGAAGCTTCCATCTGAAGGAGCGGCAGGAACTGAAAATCGTACGCTCTGCGCTTTCTTGAGCATGCTGCCCTTCCTCACCACCAAGGGCAGCCCTGTGGAGACTTCTAGAACACTGGACCCCAGCCAAACTTGAATGGAAATCTGATACTCCTACCCTCACACCCAAACAGTAAATATTCTCCGAATATAAGATGGTGCTATATTGGGGGTATTCATCATTGGGGGGTTGGAGCGGTCTGTTCCTAGGAGGGGATGAGCAAGGAATGCTATCCGCCTCCTTGCAGGCTTGTCACCATGTACGTTTGTCGTCATACAGGACTAGCCTACAAGTGCAAGAGCTTGGTGTGAACCCTCTACCAGGGGTTCTAGAGGTTCCTGCTGCGGCTTTGGAAGCGTCGGAAGCTGCGGGGCACATGTTTTGCGATTCGGAGTTTAGGGGGTGTGGGATTTTGGGTTAAGCGCTCAGAGTTCGGGAGGATCCTTACATGCACCCCATGCCACGTCCAGTACATCCAGATTGTCAGCCTCTTTTCCTAGGAGCAGGGCCCAGGGATCTGAGCCCAAGGGCACCGGTTGAGATCCCAGAGCCTAGGGTTGGAAAGTTTAAGTGTCAAACAAATTGTGGTTGCTTTTAAGGTAACCCATGTAATAAGGAGCTGAAGAGTTCGCGTATTTGCGAAATTTCCTAGACTTTCAACAGTTGGGGTTTATATTGGGATAATGGAAAATATGATGGAGACTACTATAGTATATGAGGGCTATATTGGGGGGGGGGGGCTGACATAAGTACTTACTGAAGGCGAGATGATGAGGCGTTGGGCGTAACCGCTTTCCCGGTCAAGAGCTTACAGTAAGTTACCATACTCTGGGCACAGAGTATATTTAAAACCAGTCGAGGTTCCCTAGCAGCAGCCCAGGTACCGCGGAGTCGGGAGATCTCCAGGATGGTTGGCAACCCAGCTTTCTGGGAAGTACGAGATGGAGCGGGCGCACATGCTTTGTAATATAACAGGGCAGCACATCATCAGCATGGTAGCTGTAATGGTTTCTCGGTAGTAAATTTCAGAGGTAATCACCTGGACAACTGTTTTGTCTTCGTACCTTCATTCCAGCAGGAGAGCTGGATTCGAGCTGCCTTCAGGATTGTAGCCTCCCAAAAAAAGATCACAACACTTCAGCTGCCCAAGTGCCTGGGCCTGCGCTACCTTAGGCTCGCGCACTGCCTTTCCTCGTTCCGTCTCCAAGAGCTACTAAAGAGCCTAAATAACTCCCAAAATCGTTTGAGGTCCATTTGAGGCACCGGACTCTTGTACAACAATAGACCCAAAAGACCTTCAGTCTCAGGGTTTCGTATGAACGTGTATAACCCTGAGCCTTATACTTTAAGATCCTAAAGCTGAAGGTCTTCTGGGTTTAATGGAGAGCAAAGCCTTCCTTGCAAGGAAATTGCGAGCTGGTCTTTTTGTTCATCGTGCTTGGCTGCATGAATTGACTCTGTGGGCTGGACACATACTTTGCTGTGTCTGGCTCATGCTACTCATTTGCGGGTCATTATGAAGGTGTTGGCAAGCTGGTGAATAGACATCTTGATCCAAGGCTTGCTCAGCTTTGCCAGCTTAACATCTGCTGTTGGAGACCCGTGCCCCGCGTCCTTAAGTTTTCGATTCTCGGGAACGATGGTTACTCTGATTTGTTGAAACAGGGCTTCCTGTTCGCCATGTATGCATACGGAGCAGATCAAGCGTAATCTCATCAAGTTGCTACTCTTGCTTGCATGGTGTCTGGGTCTGAAACATGCATGGAGCCGTCCAGCGGTTGCTACTGCGTGGGTCGGCCACTCAGTTTGGGTTGCTGTTAAGAAACTTCATTCAAGTTGCCATGAAAAGGAACCCTGAACCCTAAACCTGTTTATTCATAGTATCGCCATCTGACTAACAGTAACTTAGCTCAAGTTCATTGACAGCAACCCAACTAGTCACGTTACCATCGCACCTGGCCCCTGAGCGGCCTCAGCTTCTGAAGAAGTCGTGGACTCTTTATTGCTACCAGCCTGGCTCCGGCAGTCAGTTCTTGAGGCCTAGGTTCCCTCAGGAATCCTAGTCCAGTAGCCCTAAACATGAAATCGCGAACCTGAACCTCTTCAGGGTTCAGCCCTGCATGGGCAGCTGTACAATAGATCAGTGGCTCTTCTCACCTCGCAGGGTTTTCTCGATGGACTGCAGCACTTCTGGGTCATCGGCATTGTTGAGGTTGACATCGAAGCTGCTATCCTGGGTCGCAACGTGAGGGAGGGGCCCAGGGGGGGGGGTTTGAGGAGTGTAGAGCTCACTTGGCATTTACGACTGCACGCCCCGAAGAATGCTATATCATCCCCCGCCCCATCCCCATATAATGGAGTCGCAAATGGAAAAGACATTGGAAAAATAAGCGGAACCTGGGGGAATATAGGGTTTGAGGTTTCAATACTGGGGTTTACTTGAGAGGGAAGATTGTCCCCGGCTAAGTTTGCTCTACCTGCGCGGCTGTTGCATGAATGGCATGGCTCTACAGCGCAGATTGACTGATGATCCATCCATGTAGGCACAGCAAACGCAGTGACATGTGCGCCTCGCCACACCGCAGAATCCACAGTGCCACAAATCACCCCACATGGTGAGAAACCAACCATAACATGTTTGCTCTGGATGCGAGGGCACTTGCCGAAAGCTAGCCCTAATTCAGAAAATCAAACTTCCTCGTCCGCGGCCCTCGACGTCTCTGCCGCCAACCCTTCACATATGCAGGCGGGCAGCGAGCTTTACCATCAAGGGGAGCCATGCCTTCAGCATCTCCACCTTTGCGCCGCAAAGCTTCTGGAGGCTAGGCTTCGCGTGTCCGGAAGGCAGCACTGCGAATTGCAAGTTACACAGGGACCCCTTTTTACGCTCTCTCTATTGAGAGGGGAGGTTACTCATGAGGTGTGTACCGCATGAAAGCACATAAGTCCAGGTCTCTGTTCCTGAGGTTGGCACCAGAGCAAGAGTTCAGAGTCTAGATTGCCTGACCTATGCCTTCCTCTGAGTTTTTTTTGGAACTGATAACCAGCCTCTTCATACACAGAGCTTTGGATTTCACAGCCTGAGGGCTTGTTGATAGCCTACACCCTAGGCCAGGCTTGCCCCCAAGCACTAAAGGTCAGCCAGAAGAAGCTTCTAAGCGCTAGCTATTCATGTGGACATGATGCTTGAACAGCATAGGCTCAGGACACTGGCTGCCGGGATTTCAGCAGCATTGCTTCTAGTGGCGTTCTCGTAAGACTTCTGGGCAATGTGTGCAAGGCTTGGGACCTTAGGTTCAGACCTTGTAATATATCTTTCTTTAATTCAAGGTCCGAAGTCTAGGTCCAGACCTGGAAAGCTCATAGAAACCTTACGGCCAGACCCAGTTTCCCAGACCTCCAGGTCTACTGTTTGGGGGTGCATATGTAGATAAACGAAAACGACTGGGTCTTGGTGTAAGGATTGTTGTTGTCCGAGTGCTCCCAGTGCTCTCCCTTATCGGTCAAAGATTGTTATCGCCTAATCTTTATCAATGCCCGTGTGGCAAGAGGCAATTGGTACAGCTCAGGGTGACCCGCGTCAGGCAGGAGAACAACAGGGGAGGGTCGAGTTGGAGTGAGAGGCGTCGCAGCCTATCTAACATGCCGTTGATCATTGGGGCCAGCCTGATTTTGTCCTTTCGCTGAGGGCCCTTGAGTCTCCTGCCTCTCCATTTTCATGCCTATCAACTTGATCTCCACGACTACTGTGGTGGATGGGAGAAATCCTGAGCTGTTTGCAGGATCTCCAATGTAATGAAGCCCCCCGGGTGTAATGTATACAAGATGGTGCAAGATTTCCCCAACTATGACGGGTACTGTCCGTCCCATTGCTGAATCGTAGCCATTAATTCCGATGGCAGACTTGTTCTCCTATATACATGTATGGGACGGCGCACTCTGCAGCCAACTGAAGAAAGGCCGGCCTCTACCGTCAACTCTTCGATAGTGGGCTCATCTACCATCTTGAACCTTGGCTCCAAGCCCGTAGAGGGCCTTGTAGGATTGGAAAGGGCTTCGTGTCCTGGCTATGGCGGATCTGAACATGAAGAAAGCCGTATCATTCCATCTTTCTGGTCTGAAGATGCAGATGCCCCTCCAAGTGTCATACCATCATCCTGAAAGCTGTCAGTAAGTATCATACCATCATCCGGACAGCTCTCACTTGGTATACCATCTTCGTCATTGGCAGGTCTGGGGCTCCAGGGCTTGCAGGGTGCCTGGCTGTGGTGAATTGCACGGAAGGAGGCTGTGGTTCTCTCACAGGAGTGATGGGGTACGAGCTGAGTCGGCGTGAATTCATCCCTGAGGCAGGCAAAACCGATTGGTTCTTACGAAGATTTACGTTGTCTCTTCTCAGCGATCTTTTCGCCACTCGGGCAATACGCAACGATGCCCTCAAACATGGAAAACCTTCGAGGAATTCTCAGGTTACCATTACAGGCAGTTTAAATAGCCGCATGCTTCCCTAAACCCTAATGCTACTAGACACTTGAGGCTTCAGGAGGTTGGTTCAGGGTCAGGAGGCATCCCATGACACAGAAACAGTTTTAGCCCCTGCCCATGCATGTCTGGGGGTTGGAGGTACGAAATCCCATCCTTTTTTTGCCGGTTTGAATTAGGGTTAGGAGAAATGCTTTGTAGGGGGCTAAGCTCCATAGTGTAAGATTTGCAGTATGCCTGTGTCCATGAGGATTGGGGGCATTGTGCCTCTACTGAGGATTGGTAAAAGGGCATTTTGGAAATTTTCGGGGTTCATTCACAAGTAGGTCATATGGATGCAAAAAGCCTCCCATAGGATACTGAAATAAATCACGTAGACTTCAGATACATGTAGGTTCAGTACTGATATGACAGCACTTTCCACAGTCTCTCTACAAACGTGCAAAAGCGAGAGGCAAGGACAGTTTCGCGGCGCGAAGCCTTCCACCACAATCCCAATGACTTACTGGGATTAATCGTAGATTATACAGGCATTAATGCCCTTGTTCCCTAACCACCAATAAGATGACTGTTGGACCAGTTGAAACGCATCACGAGGTTCACTGGTGTTTACAGTCCCTGCCACTCCATCCCCAAACTCTAATTCATGATCCTGAGGCCTCATCCACTCCTGATGACCATGCCGTTTTTGGGTGGGTTCTTAGTGACAAGGACCTGGCAGAATGTGGAGCAAATACCGACCGCGACCTCCAAATACCCCAGCAATAGGATAATAAGGCTCTTTTAAGGAGGGGGATTATCAATCACAGGTCTACATTAATTACTGATCACCTGTGATTGTACAGCACACCGTATTCCACCCCAAGTGCCTCACTGAGCTGTCCTCCACACCTGCTGCCTGAAACTCAAGTTGAACCTCAAGCCGTGAAAGCTCTGAAATCAAAAGCTTGAAAAAAAACCTGCAGACCCAAATCCTAAACAAAAGCCTTTCAGCCCTGAACTGTGTAACAACAAGCAGAAGCTCCCCATGAGCTGCTTGCACTATGGCCCATATGAAAACATCCCCTACACGCGAAACTTGCAATGCCTTGCATTTCCGGGAGGCGTCTTCGTACGCACTTTGTACATGTGGCCACCAACGTCCACCAGCTGCCCATCTTGTTCGATGCCTTTGGATTCCAAAAGAGACCCCGAATGCTGGAAGCTCTGAAGCCCTTCATCCAAAACCCTACATAAATGGTACTAGGTTGGGGGTATTTGAGGGGGATCCCTGTCCTCCTTTGGGGTACGGTCATACACCTGACCTCTTGTACCCTGACCAGGGGGGAGGAGCCCTAGGCTTTGCAGGCTGCCTGGTATCCATTTTGAAATGTCTTCTCCCTGGGCATTTTACTGACTGACTAGACACAGGGGCTTCCATAACCATAGGGGCCCCACTTTGGACTGCGAAGACTGTCATCCTTACTATGGAGACTTCCCAAAAAGGGATCCTCAGTTTCTGGAAGCCCCCGCATGCAAGAAGACTCGAGGATAAAGGTTCCTTAGCTTAGACTTCTCAGGTTTGGGAAGTCAGGCATGAGCAGTTGTGTCAATGCAATCTTAGCGTCGATCTGCGAGTTTGAAGTCATCTAAACGCGTTGGTTTTGAAACCAACGTCTTGATTCTCTGATCGAAACCTTAAAAACTCCAGGGAAGGCCATACCAAACACGCTCGCTAGAACTCCAAAGAGAAGCGCGCGTAGCCTCCACACTCACAGCGACTTAAATTCGTGAAGCTACTATGCAGTAGACCATAAAAAATCCGTTGTAGAGTATTTACTATGGCTTTTTACTAGTACTATTTACTATTACCATAAATTGTTATCACGTACAATCAGCATGTATATCCTTTTGCAGATATTATGGACAGAATGGCTTTCGTGCAGTGTTCCTGCCTGCCCATCCTCTATGTGCCGATTCTGTTGTTCTCTCCGATGCCCAACCCTATATAATCCCCATAAAGCCCCTATACAATCCCTATATAATCCTCATATAACCCCTCTATAACCCCTAGATCCCCCTTAAATTGAGTCTATGAAAGGTGGTCATGCCAAACCGATCCACCCAAATTTGAAATAACATTTCCTCAGGGCGGAAATGCTCAAAGCTGGGATGCGGAAGTATTTTGATGGCCTTAAAATGGATAAGGCTACATGGGCATCACACTTCCCGTCCCTTGCTGAGCAGTCCTGCGTTGCAAGAATACGGCAAACCTGCCCGACAGTATGAGTTTCAACGAGAAAGCCAACAGAGACAAACATCGTGCAAGTCCGTGAACACTGAATCCATCGACCCTCAAACTTGGCAGCCTGCTGTTCAACCTACAAGTTTGAATTCTTCGCAATCGGATGCCCAAATCCTGGAGACCGCCTGAACTTGCAATTGCCAACTGCCTGAAACCTCAGCGTTTAGGGTTTAAAGGTTAGGGTTTTGGGGTTTAGGGTGTCAGCATTCCTGGAACATCGAATGCCTCATAATAACCGTATCAGTGATGCAAGTAACAGTAAGAACAATAACAATAGTACTGCTAGCAATCAGCATTAATAAGATTTAGGGAGGGCCTCTTTCCTTCATGTAGTCCTCCATGGCACTCTGCGTGCCTAACCGCTCGAAATCCTTGGCACCGCCGGTCAAAATGGGTTTAACCGAGAGGTTTGGGGTTGAAGGCTTCCGGCGTTGTGGATCTCGGTGCCTGCGCAGCTTTGCAACAGCCCAGGAGAAGAGGCATTCAGACTATATGTTATAGTATACCATAATAAACTATAGATAGTATACCATAATGAAGTATAATATGCCATAATAGACTTTCAAATACCATAACAAACTATAGTATGCCATAATAAACTAGAATACACCATAACATAACTGTTAATCTATCCGGCCACTGGCAGCCGAAGAGGAATGTGCTTTGACGGCAACACGAAGGCTGCTGTTACTCCAGCTTGTACCCCCCACGGCAAACTGAATATCTCAGGGATCCTCACTCTCCTCAGGTGCATGATTTGACCGGTACAACTCTTGTCAGTTTTTCTGTTGTCATATCATCGGTACTGTTTCCAATATTGGAATTATTACTAGACCAAAAAACAGCTTGGCACAACCAGCGGGATGTGAGAGGCCCAGCACCAAATGGCGCAGCAGTCTTAAGCCCAGAAGTTAACCCTAAACCCGAAACCCAAACCCTTTTTCCATCTGGGCTCCATGGACTGCCAGAACAAGACTAACAGAACACGGACTCTCAGCCCTAAGCCCTAAACTCTGGTTTCGGGTTTAGGGTTTGGACTTACTCCGAGCCACAGCCAGCCCCAAATCCTGTACAGGGACCTCTGACCCACAGTTTGAATTTCATCTTAGGATTTAGCGGCCGAAGGAGAAAACGGATGGAGCCAGATGTCTGAGGCAACAGTATCCCGACAGGGAATGCCATTTCAAAAGAAGGCCATATACCAACCAACGATAGCTAGCCAGTTCATCACCACAATGCTTGAGCCCAAAGTTCGAAAGCTCCAGCACGGTAAAAATGCTAGGCCCAGAAACCGTCACGCCCATACCTCAAATCCAAGATAACTCGCAATTCCTCAACCCCGGCATCCCTAACTCCTAGACCACAAATCTCGAGCACCCCAAAACTGAAGCCCTCACACCTTCCTAAGCTAATCTGGAACCTGGAAAGGGGGCCCTGTAAATACTCCCGTTCCGATGCGGATTGCATGATAGGTTGGGGCAGCAATGCACCTCAAAACCATGAGGCTTCAAAGCCTCAGCACTCCGAAATCCTAATGCCCAAAAATTGTACAGCAGGTGCAACACTAGTCAGAATAGCCCCTTGCTGCATTATGCTGTGATTGGGTAAGTATTGCAATGAGAATGACCTTCCTAAGCCATTCAGGCCACACCTAGACCTTGGACACTGGTAGGAAGTCGAGATTCAGAGTCTCCAATGGAGATCACATTTTTCCAGCTCTGTCCCTCATACTGGGAGTAGAACTGGCGGCATTCACGTGCCTCGGCTGTTGCCAACTCTGGATCTTTCCAGGTGCATCCAAGGATTACGGATGATGAGGTTTCAGCTTAGTTGACTTCTCGAAACCAAATTTTTGGTTCTTGTGATCCGTCTGGTTTGTTGCCAGTATTGACTATGACGGTCATCTTGCTCTTCAAAGACTTTGCATAGTGGGCATCTAGCAGCTGTTATGAAAAATGCAAATGGAAAAAGCACAGTTAACATGAATTGGACAGTTGCAAACTGATTGGGCACGCTTCATCTTCTCGGTTGTTAGGCTGCTGCTGCTACTGCTGCTACTACTACTACTACTACTACTACTAGTACTATTGTTATTACTATTATTACTATTACTATTACTATTATAGCCCCAAGCCCCGATCCCTGAATGGTAGGGCTTCACAGTTTCAATGCCTCATTCTCAAGCCACAGGTGAGAGACCTCTTGGGGACAAGGCCCGCCACAGATTTTGACGTCAAGCAAACCGAAACCAACCCCTATCCAGCGAGCTCTTGAACCCCTAACCTCCGCACAGCGCTAAAACCAGCCTGCATGTGATGTTGTGCAGGACAGGCGCAATCGCTTTGCCCTTGACAGTGCTCCAGAACCGCTCGATCTCCTCCAGCGAACTCGGGGATTCTATGCTTCGGTTGGAAAAGCTTTTCCTATGCTCATAGGTGATTTGGTTTTTAAGTGGTATACTATTCTGAACCTACAACGAACCCTGCATTGCAAGGCAACAGGTTACAGAACGCCAAGACGCGGTTGAGCCAATGAATCACGGTTATCGCCAAAATCCTTAACCCTCGAGTCCCTAGGGTTTAGGGTTTACCTTGAGCCTGGGATCCGAGATGAAGGCTTCGAATTCCCAACTTGAACGTGTCACCCACCTCGTCGGATGACATCTGGGACTTGTTGTAGTCCACCTGTATGCCCTCTTGTGCATAGACTATGGGCACCTGCCAGACGTTGAGGGCTTCTCCAGCACCAGCACCAGCACCAGCACCAGCGCCAGCGCCAGCGCCAGCACCAGCACGAGCACGAGCACGAGCAC